CAGGACTCCTCCCCTCCAGGGAAATCCCCAGGGTGACCTTTGAGTTGCCCTCTGGATATGCTAGCACCATGGCAGATGGGTGCTTGGTTATTGCCTTCTGAGGAATGAATAAAGGCATAGAATAAACATTCCAAGCTCTGGAGGATAAAGTGGGCGTTCTCTACGTTTTGCAGGTGAGGAAACCGAGGCCCAGAGAAATTAAGTGACTGGCCAAAAGTCACACAGTCTCTAGGTGCTGAGCTGGGATTTAAATTTCACTCTTGGGGCGCCTGGGTGGCGCAGTCGGTTAAGCGTCCGACTTCAGCCAGGTCACGATCTCGCGGTCCGTGAGTTCGAGTCCCGCATCAGGCTCTGGGCTGATGGCTCGGAGCCTGGAGCCTGTTTCCGATTCTGTGTCTCCCTCTCTCTCTGCCCCTCCCCCGTTCATGCTCTGTCTCTCTCTGTCCCAAAAATAAATGAAAAACGTTGAAAAAAAAATTTAAAAAAAAAATAAATTTCACTCTTATGTGGAGCCTGAAAAATTTAACAGAAGACCATGGGGGAGGGGAAGAAAAGAAAAAAGAGGTTAGAGAGGGAGGGAACCAAAGCATAAGAGACTCTTAAAAACTGAGAATAAACTGAGGGTTGATGGGGGGTGGGAGGGAGGGGAGGGTGGGTGATGCGTATTGAGGAGGGCACCTGTTGGGATGAGCACTGGGTGTTGTATGGGAACAACATAAATTTCATATTAATAAAAAAAATCCAAGTCTAGGTCTACACAGAGCACCCCTGACATTTCAGGCTACCTGTCCAAGATGCCAAATGAAATAGCTAAACAGTGAACCAAGTAGCAAAATATCAAAAGAGAAAGCCATTTGTGAGTATCCAACATGATACAGACATAGTGACTCAAACTCTGTTTCGGCCAGTTACAGAGCACAGTCGGGGTCATCCACAAGCAAAGAGAAAGAGAGGCCTGGAGACTACTATTTGCTAAAAATGCCACGTAAGCCATTCTCTTTGAGAAGTCATAGAAATACTATTAAAGAATCCAAATGGATAGGAAAACAGGTCTTTTGGAAAACTTTAAAAATCAAGCTGTACACCCCACAAATATCAGAGTCAGAGGCTTTGATTGCAGCACAAAGGGGTTTTGATCCCAAGAAAAGATTATATTTGAAGATTTTATTTTATTTGAGCCCAGTGATTTTTTTTTTAAGATTTCTTTAAAGGTTTATTCATTTTTCAGAGCCAGAACATGAGGTGGGGAGGGGCAGAGAGAGAGGGAGACACAGAATCTGAAGCAGGCTCCAGGCTCTGAGCTGTCAACACAGCCCGACACAGGGCTTGAACCCACAGACCGTGAGATCATGAACTGAGCTAAAGTCACATGCTTAACCGACTGAGCCACCCAGGCGCCCCACTGAGCCCAGTGATTTTCAATCACTTGAAGATAAACAGGAAGGCACTTAATGACACCTGAGTATTTGTATTGTTGTCAATCTTTCTGCATATGGTGTATATCCTTATACACAGAACAGCGATCAATTAGTAATCGTGATGCTGTATTTATGTCATAAAGGGTTTTATGTCTACAGTATATATAATGAAACTGTTTTAGCCGTATTCCCATTTAACTGCCCCATTGAGAAGACATGCTGCTCACGTCACAGACCAGGTACCACCTGGCTCCTGCTGGTTGGTAGCCCAGCCAAAGCATGGACATAGGCTTAGCAAACTCTAACCTCAGTCTCACGAACTCAAATCTATGCATGAAGGCAAAACCCAGAAATGCAATCCATTGTTATTTCCCTCAGCTCTCTTTTATGCCATTCCTGTTCATTTCTTTGCCCAGATCATCACCTTTTTCTTCATGGCTTAGATATCAGTGCTTGGAAAAGGTTATGCTGAAAATCAACTTATTTCAAGTTGCTAGTTTAACAGACAGTTCCGTCCACATGGCGGACAGTGTTTTCACAGTGTTTCACAGTGTTTTCAACGGTTGTTTACATTAGCAATTACACAACCAAAACAAACTTTAACGGGGTGTCTGGGTGGCTCAGTCGATTGAGCGTGAGACTTGGGCTCAGGCCATGATCTCCTGGTCTGTGAGCTCGAGCCCCGCATCGGGCTCTGGTCTGACAGCTCAGAGCCTGGAGCCTACTTCGGATTCTGTGTCTCCCTGTCTCTCTGCCCCTCCCCCACTCATGCTCTGTCTCTCTCTGTCAAAAAATAAACAAACATTAAAAAAAATTTTTTTGAAAAAAAAAAAAACTATAACAAAAATTTACCACCAGAGCAGATGACACTTCAGAGCAACACTGGTCGTTGCTAAATTCTAACGCAGGTATAGGTACCCCCCCTTTTTCGAAAGTTCACATCACACCACTTCGCTTTTAGGAAAAGATCTACATTAGCAACTGTTTTTACTGACCCCGAGCAATCTGAAGAGGATTGTGCCTTTCACGAGAAACAGCGGAAAGGAAAACAGGAAAATAGCTTCAGCGAGTGAAAAAGGAAAAGAGCTTCAGCATTGGTTTTGCCGCCAGGCTTTACGCAGGCAGCGTGCAGGCCGAGCAGCGAGTAGCGCCCCCCAGCTCCTTCCCCGGGAACTACACTCAGCCTCTCAGCGTCAAGCCACGGAAGCTTTGATGTTTCTCTCTCTGCTTTGTCCTGATTTATTTTGTATACCCACCAGCAAGATGTGTGGTGGGTATGAGAAAGCCTAAGGGAGGATATTTTTAGGCTCTGGGAATACTCAAAATTTTTTTCTACATAAATTAATGGCAATCGCTTCTTCACTTCACACAATGTTGGCTTAGGAAAGTTTTTATAGGAATGCTGTACTTCCGGATCGCAGGGGAAGTCTGTATTTTAAAAGCATAGTTATAAATGGTGTGCTTCGGCTACCATGTTTTCCTCCTGCAGATTTGCCAAAGAAACACAAAATAAATTTCCAACGCGTCAATTATTTTGTAAATAAATAAATCCTGTTTTGAGAGGAAAACCCTACAGGGTTTTTAGAAGTTCTGGAGGATCCGCAGTGTGTGCCAGTGAATGGTTCATTGTCACATTATTCAGTAAAGCCCAAGCCATTAAGTGCGTTAAGCTTCACAATGGGCAGAATAAATCAAAACTGTCTGAAGCTTGAGGTGAAACCCGGCTTCACTGGGGCTGGTGTTTGCATTGCTGGATGGTGACATGCATGGCCATGGAACCAGAGGGCCAGACTGAGAAGATGAGAAATGGAAGCTGGGTGGTAGTCCTTCATCGGGCCCTCCTCCACAGGACTTCTTTATTTCGTCTTAAGTGTCTTATTCTCTCAGAGTAACGGACATGCCCATTCAAATGTGTACATACATCCCAAAGGGAAATAAATATATGGAAAATTTCTATCATTGGTCACTTTGAAAAACTTAATAAGAGCTTTCTCATAACTGACTACTGTTGGAGCAATTAATGTAAATCCGAATGTATTAATTTCTCTCCCATTTTTAACTTTCCTTACCTAGAGCTCTCAGTAGTGCCATCAAAATATTGAGTGCTGATAGAGATTCGACAACAGATTCTATCATTCTGGTGTGAATTGACTGCCTTTAATTGAGTGAATAAAGTTTTGATAAAAACTCCTTGCTAAACTAGAAACCTGGCATTTTAGGGTCATTTAAACCCTACAGAGCTTTGAATTTCTTTTTGCAAAACATATTCTAGGACTCAGACCATTTAAAACTAAGTTTTTACATTTCTCAAATATTTAGCCCCCTACTGATAGATTTAGTCCCCTACTTAGATTTAGGTCGAGCCACCCCAGTAGAGTGCCATGTAACCTCTTTAAGTCATCAAAGCTAATCTAGTTTAAATTGCATCTCATAATACCATAACACACTGAAGTCATAGTTTTAGCAAACAAATCCAATAGATTCTCGACAAATGACTTATATAAGGGATATTCAATGAGTTTGGATTTATTTCTCCACATAAAGACCACAAACAAGCAAACAACAGTAGCTTCTCCAAACACTGTATGTTCTTCTCTAAGAGAATTACCCCTGGTCACTGGATCATCATCCTGACAGCCCTAATTATCTAGAAGATGCACTTGTCCATATTTATAACAACTGATAGGATTTCAGTTTATTGCTTGTGACATTTGTCTAGACCAGAAGGACAACATCTACTACAGAAAATTCATTTTGGGAAGCCAGGCCATAGTTCGTATTTCAAAGGCCAAAAGAATAAAATGAATTCAAAAGATGTATTTCCTCGTGTGGTTTAGTGACAGAAAGTGTCAATTCATTCTTAAGCAGAACAAGGTAAATAATCATAGCCAAACTATTCTTTGGATAGCCTTTCAATCATTTTGCTTTATTCTAGAATATTGCTTAGTAAAGAGTATTGCCCGCTTTCTATTGCCTGACACATTCTGAGGTTACAAGTACGGAGGTTTGCAGGGAAATAAAATGGGAATTAGCTTCACTCAAATTACCATTGGCATTTCTGGCCTTTCCACTGGTGATTTTGGAACTCCACGAAGAAACGTCAGAAAGAGTTTTATCCTTTGCCGACAGAGACAAAATCAGAGAGGGCATGGAAACGAATTCCAATTAAATTTGAACGTTGGAGCCTGAACTCTGTCTGTGTACCTTAGATGTCTATTTAGCAACATGGAAATCGTATGCAAAGACACTGTTATTCTGACTTTTAAACAGAGGACAACTGCTTTAACGTTTCTAATCATAAAAATAATCCCTTGCATTTGTGAAGTGCTTCTCCTTTTACTAGGGACATATATCAGCAAGGTCATAAACGGAAGTATAATTTAGGGAAAATCAATAGAGTTAACAGGAAAAATACCTACTGAGTCATACCTTGCCATTTGGTAATATTAAAAGTAAATGCATTAGCATTCGATCCTCATCCCTGCCCATGACTATCAGAACAGCTCACATTTTTAAATACAGGCCTTTATCCTAGCCAGGCATTAACGTATATTCCAGAAAAGTGTCATCTCACACGCATACCGCAGTTTTCTTCATCACTGTCATCGTCACAGTCAGCCTGGCCATCACACCTTCTGGAAGCCAGAACACACCGTCCAGAGCCACACTTGAAGTGACTAGGTGAGCATTCTGTTAAAAACAATAAGCCACTTTATTGTCGCTGGACAGAAAACCTGGAAGCATCAACTGATCTATCCATTTACGGGTGGGCTATTGCCAAGGAGCTATTCCTGAAGAGAAGATGGTCTTCCACAAAGCTGAGCCAACCAAAGTTAGCTTGGCTTTCTCTGCTTGCTGATGGGGATCTTTTTCCTTCACCCTTGGCATCGTCTCTCCCATCAGTTGTTTAGCGTCTTTATGCTTTCCAGCAATTAACTACCTTCCCGAATGGACAACCATGTCCATTCCACGGATTGTCAGAGCCTGAAATAGCCCATGGAGCCAATGCTTCTAATGACACCTTGATGTGTCCAATTGTTTCCAGTTCTAATCCTTCCACCAGGTGGGCAGGTCCCGGATTCCCTTTCTCTACCTGATGATCCTATGTTGCCAAGGTCTCTAAAAACTTTAAAGTAACCAAGGCTCGATGTTCACCATTACCTACAGGAACCCTAGTATAAAAGCCGCCTATAATGGGCTCTGTGAGTTGAGTATGGTTAAGATAAATACCTGGAATATTACATACATCTCTGCAATTTATTTTTAAAATGAAGACAACGTTTAACAGATCAGCACCACATTCTTCAACGAATCAAGTTCATAGACTCACTCACCCATGCCGCCTGATCGACAACTAAATAGAACACAGCAAGAACAATAACAACCGGGAAACTCAAGAAGGGAGCTGATCTATTCGTCCATGTTAGATACCCGGCGGTAATTGATTTAAAAATTAACCTTCCACATCTTCATCAGGCATTAGGCAAGTTTGGTTGTCTGAATTTTCCTCTGGAAATTGACTGCAATCTGTGTCTTCAGGCCACTGCAGGCCCACGATCCCAAGAACAGACTCACAGTGTTCTTTGGAGTGCTCACACAGTGCTCTGAAAGAGAAAGAAAGAGTAAACATCAGTAACAGAAATAGCTACGTCTGAAATGGTATGTCAGGAATATACGTAGGGTTCTAATACGAGTGTGGGTCTATTATGTGTGTATCTGGTGTGTGTATATACCAGTATAGATGCACAGATACGTAACAGATATTTGGGAAAACAAAAAGAGTAATACCTCCACAAGGGAAATGCATGCGAGCAACACAATTTCACCAAAAGAAACTTCGTTGCAGAAATAGAAATAAAAGTTTGCTGTGTGTGTTTTTATTGAAATGTATTTCACATATAACATGATGTATATTTAAGGTGTAAAACATGTTGATTTGATAACATTTATATACTACAATGTGATGATAGAACCTCTATCACATCACATAATTACCATTTCTCTTTAGTGGTTGAAAAATTAAGATCCAGATTCTTAGGAAGCTTGATGATTATAATACAATACTGTTGTCTATATTCGCTATATTGTGCATAAGATCTCCAGGATCTATATATCAACTAGTCGCAAGTTTATGCGCTTGAACAGCATCCAGAACACAGATACCCTTCTGTTCTCTCTTCTGTCTTCCAAGAAGACACATTCTCCAATGCTTTTATTCCAAGTCAGGAAGTTCCCAGCATTGGTTTGGAGAGTCGGCCACCAAGGGTCATGGCATCTATACCATACCCTCAACCGCAGAGTTCTCTCCCTCTGGCGAACAGCCATGGGAGCCATTCCATGTGCCAGCTTGGCTTACCCAAGGCACTGCCATCATCACTTCAACTTGGATCAGTGGTGTTGACAAGTTTGGCACCTCCCCCCAAACCCATCTACACTGAGCTCAAGTTGGCTAAAATAAAATGTGTTCTTTTTGAAAGAAAACATACACTAAGCATTGTGCTAGGTGCTTCCATTTGTGTTATCACATTTGTACAAAGCATATATATATGTATATGTATATATATATATATTTTCTTCTTTTGGGGGGGGAGAGAGAGAGAGAGAGAGAGCACGTGCGTGCCAGTGGGGGAGGGGCAGAGGGAGAGGAAGAGAATCCTAAGCAGCCTCCACGCCCTGTGCCGAACCCTTCTCAGGACTCAGTCTCACAACCATGATCATGACCTGAGCCAAAATCAAGAGTCTGATGCCCAACCTACTGAGCCACCCAGGCGCCCCTGTACAAAGTGAGGTATCAGCCTGTCTCACAGGAGATTTCTTTACTTCCAGTGGGGGAAGAATGGTCTTGCCTCACCACATTACCAAGAAATGAGTTACATAATTAAAAAAGAAAAAGAAACATAACCAAATAAGTTTCAGGCAAATTTTTTATTTCCTTTCAAATGTATTATTTATTTTCAGAAGTTTTCAACTTTAAACTATTAATTTCAACAAAGGTCTTGGTCTCTCCCTCAATAAAATGGGGCAGGCCTTCTAGAAGGGTCAGCTTCAGTCTGGCCAGAAACTGGTAGGGAAAGGTTGACAATAGAATGGGGGAAAATTTCAGAGAAAACTCTGTCTACATTTACTCTTGCACAAGGCAGAGCATAATTTAATGCTGGTTTAGCCTCAGAATTTGGGGCAACAACAGAGCCATGGCACTTCCACATTAGTTTTGCAAAAATGGGAAATTCAATAGTGTTCAATAACCCTCTGTTAGACTGAAGAGTGTTATCGTAGATTTATAAAAAATGTATATGACTTAATTGCCGCGATTTTAAATTAGCCATAAGATACCTAATTACATGGAACATTGTCTAGTGCCTGACTCTACCACGTCCTATTTTTTCCATAAAATGGAAATAACACAAGAATACATTAAAAGAAAACAATAGTAGTGCAATAAGACAATACAATCAAAATAAGACAATGCAGCCACAGGCAGCAGCCTTGATGGTAGGGCCCTCTCTCAGGACAGCAGTAGTACCCTAACATATTTAACACGTTGTAAGGGCTCGAAAATGTTAAGTTTTTCAGGCTCAAAAGATTTTTTTTAAGAATTAAAATGTTAATTTTTAATATTTAGTATTTTTAATATTTATTCATTTTTGAGAGAGAGAGGGAGACAGAGGGTGCGTGGAGGTGGGGCAGAGAGAGAGGGAGACATGGAATCTGAAGCAGGCTCCAGGCTCCGAGCTGTCAGCACAGAGCCTGATGGGGTGGGGGTGGGGCTCAAATCTACAAATCCTAAGATCATGACCTGAGCGGAAGTCCTGACACTTCACCGATGAGCCACCCAGGTCCCCTTTAAAGACTTTTTTTAATGTTTACTTTGGAAAGAGAGAGAGAGAGGAGTGCATGCATGCGTAGAAGGGGAGGGGTAGAGAGAGAGGGGGACAGAGGATCCCAAACAGGCTCCGCACTGACAGCAAAGAGCCTGATGAGGGACTGGAACCCACGAATGGTGAGATCATGATCTGAGCCGAGGTCAGACGCTTAACTGACTGAGCCACCCAGGCGCCCCTTAAAATTTTATTTTTGAATTATGAGTCGGGGGGCGCCTGGGTAGCTCAGTCAGTTAAGCGTCTGACCTTGGCTCAGGTCATGATCTCATAGTTCATGGGTTCGAGCCCTGCATCAGGCTGACTGCTGTCAGTCAGTCAGTGCAGAGCCTGGAGCCTGCTTCCGACTCTATGTCTCCCTCTCTCTGCCCCTCCCCTACTTGCTCTCTCTCTCTCTCAGAAATAAACGTTAAAAAATTTTTTCATGAAATTTTAAGATCAATAAACAAGATTGGCAAAAGCAACGTTGCTTCATGAACATATCAGTATATTATTCTTGAACGAATATAAAAAACTCTTACGAACAAATAACCAAAATGCAAAAGTCATTTTGAAAGCCACTGAAAATGACAGATGTACTTGTAGATACGAGAAACAGAAAAAAAGTGTCTGAAGAAAGTTCACTAAAATGTTGATTGAATAACATTTCAGTCTCATCTTGGGCGTTTTAATATGAAACATAAGCCCTGAAATTATAAATCATATGTGCATGTTAATTTGTTCCAGAGAATACTGCATTAGGGACATTTTTTATACATATGAAAAGAAAATCAAGGCAAACATTTTTAACATATCATCAGAAGTGATTATTCACTATCCTTGACCTTGCTTAGCAAAAGTGGAATAAAATTGAGAAATAAATTTTTCACATAAAATGGGTAGATGTTTTGTTAGCAATACTTTAAAAGGCATTTTCCAGAAGTTTCCAGAATTATGTCTGCACAAGGCAACATTAACTTTTACTCTGGTTATCTAGTTCCCCAACTCATTTTGAAATTTTATTGCTTCCTGTCCTCTATAGATGCCCCCCTCCTTGTCATCCGCTTGATACTGGGTATTTAACTTATTGTTTTCCCATCTGTCCACTATATTGATATCACTGCTTTTTCTTAAAGCTCTAAGTGACTTCTGATCCCAGCATAGAGCTTCCGTAGTTACCGCTCACATTTGGACAAGCACATCTGTATATTCACTCCTGATGGAAAACAGTGCGAGGAGTGCAGTGGCCCGCCTGTGTGACCACCTCTTGGAAGGGCGCCATCTCTGACTACGTCACAACCTACGGCACAGGACAGGAACTGCCTGCCACCAGACAGTAGTGTTCCTCTCCTGCCATCAGAGCTGGTGTTCATCAGATCTGCCAGTCAGAAGGTGCCACCCTGATGCACGTTCATTTACTCTCCCAATGACCCTACCCAACAACCTCCTCTCTTGATTTCACAGACAGGAGTAGAAGAGCCAACGCTGAGAGAGGGGGGAATCTGTCCCCGGCCACGGGGCAGCGAAGGAGAGCCAGGACATGGCCCAGACAGTGGACTCCGGAGTAGTGCTCTTACCCCGAAGTGGGGTATCGCTCATTCTCAATCCAAGCCGCAAGCTTGAAATTCTGCCCCTTATTTCATCCCAGCAAGCAGGAAAACGTCAGCAACGTGCGTCCCTTGTCCAACCTTTAGGCCACTCCTTATGTAATGTCCCTAACTTTTTTTTTTTAATTTTTATTTATTTTTGAGAGAGTGCAAGCAGGGGAGGGGCAGAGAGAGGAACGGAGGATCCGAAGCAGGCTCTGCGCTGATAGCAGTGAGCCCGACGTGAGGCTTGAACTCACAAATCGCGAGATCATCATGTTCCACTGACTATGCCATCCGGGTGCCCCTATGTCTCTAACTTTTGAGTGCTATCAGGAGGCCGCATTTTGCTTATTTACTTTTAATATAACTTATTGTCAAGTTAGCTAACATACAGTGCACACACTGTGCTCTTGGTTTCGGGGGTAGATTCCCGTGATTCATCGCTTATATACAACACCCAGTGCTCATCCCAACAAGTACCCTCCTCAGTGCCCATCACCCATTCTCCCCACTCCCTTAGCACCTCCCCCCAATCAACCCTCAGTTTGTTCTCGGTATTTAAGAGTCTCTAATGGTCTGCCTCCCTCACACTCTGTTTGTAACTATTTTTCCCCCTTTCCCTCCCCCACGGTCTTCTTTTCAGTTTCTCAAGTTCCACATATGAGTGAAAACTTTTGATATCTGTCTTTCTCCAACTGACTTATTTCACTTAGCATAATACTCTCCAGTTCCACCCACATTGTTGCAAATGGCCGGATTTCATTCTTTCTCATTGCCAAATAGTATTCCATTGAATACATAAACCACATCTACTTTATCCATTCATCAGCTGATGAACACTTGGGCTCTTTCCATGATTTGGCTATTGCTGCAAACGCTGCTGTGAACATTGGGGTACATGTGAGGAGGCAGCATTTTATTTTATTTTATTTTATTTTCTTAAATGTTTATTTATTTTTGAGAGAGACACAGAGCACAAGCAGGGGAGGGGCAGAGAGAGAGGGAGACACAGAATCCGAAGCAGGCTCCAGGCCAGCACAGAGCCCGACGCGGGCCTCAAACCCACTGACCACGAGATCATGACCTGAGCCAAAGTTGGACACTTGACCGACCGAGCCACCCAGGCTCCCTAGGAGGCAGCATTTTAAATACATCCACGTTGCCAGAGAAAAAGGCAGATACACTCCATCTTCCGTTAACTCACATTTTAGAACACTTCTTGATCCACCAAAATGAAACGTGGATGATCTTATTGGATTAAAATCTGTGAACTACTATCAAAGGTAGTTCATGCCTCTGCTGTGTGGTACTTCAGCAGTTACTTCTTACTCAAATATTCATTTTAGAATTCCTACTTCTTTACCATTTAAATGTATAATTTGTTAAATACAGAGCTCCTTAGCAACATGGACTTTGTCTAAACTCAAACTTAGTCTCTGCTCCCTTGGTTCTCCCTGAGGGGAAGTGAGGGTGCTTGGGGGAGACCTCACTGTGTTACCTGCAAGGTGGAATACGCTGGCTTGTGTTCACATCACACTTTGGTACCAAGATGGTGCAAGCAAAGAACATGAGGTATTTGTAACAGTTGGTTTGAACAAGTGCAGGGAAAAGAGAGGACTCCCAGCTGATGGAGGCTTCTTTTTGAGTCCTGTGGCCAAGGTAATTTGGATAATTTGTATGGTTGTAGGGCAAATTCATGCAGAGTTCCAACGTAATTGGTTCACATTGACCTAGCAAGAAAACAAAACACACATATAGGTATGTATCTATATATCTATGTCTACATCTATACCTATAGTAAATTTCATATGTAAAACAATTTCTTAAAAACTTACAAAATTGAAATATATCTTACCTTCTTTAAAAAAAAAAAAAAAAAACTAAGACTGGAATGCAAACAGTATATAACTTGCGTCAAAAGGTAAATCATTTGGTTGAAGAACTTCCAAACCAGGAATCATTTCTGTATAGGCAGCTGCCAGCACAGTGCCCAGTATGCATGTCATAGAAGGTCTTTTTTCATTTTTCCCTTGGCTCAATCTATCTGAAGGTGACACTCTTTTTTTTTTTTTTTTTTTTTAACGTTTATTTATTTTTGAGACAGAGAGAGACAGAGCATGAACGGGGGAGGGTCAGAGAGAGGGAGACACAGAATCCGAAACAGGCTCCAGGCTCTGAGCTGTCAGCACAGAGCCCGACGCGGGGCTCGAACCCACAGACCACAAGATCATGACCTGAGCCGAAATCGGCCGCTTAACCGACTGAACCACCCTGGCGCCCCAAGGTGACGTTCTTTTAGGTTTCCTTTTACCCATTTTGTCTTCTGATTTATTACTTCCTTTTTTGTTTTGTCTTTAAGTAGATTTCATGACCAGTGCAGAGCCCTACGTGGGGCTTGAACTCATGACCCTGAGATTCCAAACCTGAACTGGGATCTGTAAGATCAAGACTTGAGCTGAGATCAAGCATTGGACACTTAACCAACTGAGCCACCCAGGACCAAAGTGTAATGCTGTAAAGTTGGCATGAGAATGAATACAGGGTGGAGAGAAGAGAAAGACACAGAGGAGGTGTGGGGCTGGTTCAGTTTATCATGTCCATTGATTTATAAAGAGGGGTGACATTAAATATTTGGATTTCATATTACAAAAAATGAATATTCTTCATAACAATAAAAACAACGCAAGATGAGTAAAGAAAAAGTTCATGGTCTCCCTGCCCTCCTTCCTCTCACTGACCCTCAAAGCCAACAGACTGGGTTTGAGCCTTCCATGCCTTTCACTGGCTCATACAAGCAGTTACCTACAGGCATTTACATACAGGCATTTACATACAGAATGTACATACATGCATTTACATACAAGCATTTATATAGAAGCATTTACACACATAGAAGGAGGCTGCTTGCTTGCTTCTGCCAGAGTGGAATTATACCATTCCTATGATTCCTCAATTCACTTTTGTTGCTTAATTATTAATCATGACCATCATATAAGTCAGTAGATGCAACTCTAACCATATTTTTCCTAATTTCTTTAGTGTAATTTTACAAAAATGGGATGACTCACATGAATTTTTGATGCAGTCTTTTTCTTTTCTTGTGTAAACCTTTCTAGCTTTTCCTCTACCGCCCTATCAAGTTTTAACTTTTTATTGGTATATTTTATTATATGACTAGCAGACCTATCACATGGATATTTTTTTCTTTTCTATATGTGGAAACTATATCGCTAATGATTTGAGATGAGATAGAAGCTTTCAGTGTTTCCGAGCCAAGGAAGATGAAAGGGTGAAGTTGTGATCATACATTATTCTGGAGATCTCTACTGAACGTGGTAAGGGCGACTGAATCTTGTTAAGGAATCTTGTTAATGAATTGCTAAGCAATATAAACTCTCAAAATATCTATCAACCTCACGTTCTATGATTTACAGCATCAATAAGCTTTTTTATCTTAAGGATTATTCACTCACTCACTAGTTTGATTTATGACAGCCACTAGAGGGCAGTCGTGTCACAAACGTGAAGACGTTTAATCCTGCAGGACTGTTTTCAATGCGAGTTTGATGCCGTGCTCATTAGCACATTTTCCTGAACATAGATGAGATTTAATAAATATCTGTTGAAAAAAAAACTGATCCTAATTGAGTCTTAATGATATCCCACTTTTCAAAGTCTGAAAACATATTTGTTAAATTCAACCTAAAGAGGGGATTGTTAACTAAATGATGTTACATCCTTGCCACAATGAAGCCATTGGAAATCGTGTATTTTTTTAATGTTTATTTTTGAGAGAGAGAGAGAGACAGAGTGGGGGCGGGGAGGGGCAGACACACAATCTGAAGCAGCCTCCAGGCTCTGAGCTGTCAGCACAGAGCCTGATGCAGGGCTCAAACTCACGAACTGAGATCGTGACTTGAGTGAAGTGAATCGCGTAACTGACTGAGCCACCGAGGCGCCCATAGAAATCATGTATTAGATGATGGTCACTTACATGAGAAAAACCGCACTTTCAACATCTACTGGCATATACAATATTCTAAGATTCATCTTTGCCTCAAACTCTATATTTATTTTTATCATTATTTTTAGTGGTTTGATGAGTTTTATAAGGTGAACATCCCTGTACCTACCACCCAAATCAAGAAATTGAACTTTGCCAGACATCCCAGATGACCCTCCATATACCCTATCTTCTATCAAGCTTCTCCTTTCTCCACAGAGTAGCAACTGAGTTCATAGTTGTCACGTTAGTCTTCTTACAGTTTTATTACCTAAGTGTGCACTTCACCCTAAATACTAGAGTTAAGCCTTGCCCATTTTTTAAAACTTGTTTTGTCTTCCCCTCCATCCTTTAATTTTGTTCAAATTTTTAAAATTTTTTTTTTTATTTTGAGAGTGGTTTATTTTTTATTTTGTGCACTGGTGAGCAGGGAAGGGACAGAGGAAGGAGAGAGAGAGAGAGAGAGAGAGAGAGAGAGAGAGAATCCTAAGCATGCTCCATGCTCAGCACAGGATGAGATCACAACTGTGAGATCACAACCTGAGCTGAAATCAAGAGTCAGATGCTTAATCGACTGGCCCATCTGGACGCCCATCCTTTATTTTTAATTAAAGTTTAACTATGGAAGAACCCAGAGATTTGAACTGTAGAGTGTCCCAGAGTTTGACTTTGCTGACTACTCAGTCCTGGTGAAGTTAAATATATTCCTCTGCTACTCTTATTTCCAGAACATGGGCAGCTGAATGCAGAGGGCTGATCAGGCTTCATCCCTTAGGTAAGGCTATAGGTGCTATGGTGTTCTTTCATCAGAAGGCAAAGTATAACTGATTTCTCTCCTTTTGTGATGTCAGCAGCTGTAGATGCTCAATGCCTTGACCCATTAATTCACTGATTAATGTTACCAAATAGTAACCAATCAGTGTCACTATATGGTAATATTCTAATTTAATCATTTAGTTTTCACTCATTAGTTGAGAATACTTTTAGAAAGAGACCATTCCTCTCATCTACCATTTGCTCCCAAGGACTAAAGTCCTTAACCCTTATGGTGTTTGGTTCCTTTACCACATCCCTATAGTATCTGTTCCTTCCAACTGGAGATTGCAAGGAGAGGACAGTAAATTGGGAGGTCAGTAGGAAGCTATGTAAAGAACAAAGCAGTCCATTGCTTCTTCAGCATTGGAGGGGAAAAAAGGCATGAGTAAACATGTAGAAGTAACAGTTGATGGAACACTATGAGGAACCTGAGAGTCCCTGGGGTATGACAGTCATACCTGGCTTTATACAGCCATAGTGCTCATGGGCACAGAGAGTGGGAGGAAGGACACATGCCCAGGAGCTGCTCTTTCCACAGGGTTCCCTGGCTGTCTGGATTGCACACCACCACGCGGAAGTGAGGATTAGTATCCCACACCCTGCTCCTACCCCCTAAGGCAAGGATGTGTCTGTATTTTGCCTCAAGGAGGTATTAAAGATTTGGGATTGTGAGTGGATGTGGGAATACTGTGATACTTCAAGCCTCTCAGTAAACAATATCATCAGAGATGTGGGTTTTAGGGTTTTTTTTTAACTGTAGGTATTTCTGGGAGTCTGAGATAAGCCATGGACTTCTCCACTGAAAACTTTGAAAACTATGAAGACTTTTTTATGTTCAGTTTCAGGGATGTCCCATACCCTTGCAGCCTAGCCATGGACAAACCACTAAGCTAATAATTCTCCACCTTGGCTGCCTATTGGAGTCACCAGGAAATTTAAAAAATACTGATGCCCGGGTCCCAGTGAGTATATCTTCAGAGACCATTAGTAAGTTATATATTATGGGATAGCAAGAACAAGTGTCTTCAAGAACCAGAACCCCAGCAACTCCAGTAACAGGCTGACTCCATCAGACAGAATATCCACATTCTTCAAACTCATACTTCCATTAGTATGGAGCTAGAGAAAGACAGTGCTGTGTAGTTGTGTCTCAGAATCTGGGTAACGATAGTCTCTCTAGCGGTAAGGATCTTCAAATAATTAATCACATATTCAAATGCATGACGTTTTCTGAGAGAAGATGCTCCTCGACCAACTTTACAGACATACCACCATGAAGCTCTTTGAAAAATGAGAAAAAAAAACATCTTTACTTTCAATTGGAAGTTAGGGATATAAACTATTTTTAATAACAGAGAAGGAGCGAGGGACCAATGACCAGCCCAGTGCCTGGAACTCAGAAGAGGGGATGATCAAATGTCTGCTGAATATATATGGAAGAAGCTGGCGAGAATATTTGTGGTGAGTGAGGAAGCTGATGAGACAGTGAAGTGCTAAGGACATTGTTTGAGTGTATTTAAGGAACATAAAGAGAAGGGTGCCTGGGTGACTCAGTGAGTTAAGTGTCCCTTGATTTTAATTCTGGTCACGATCTCACAGTTCATAGGATCAAGCCCCACCTCAGGCTTCACACTAACAGCACAGAGCCTGCTTGGGATTCTCTCTCTCCCTTTTTCTCTCTGCTCCTCCCCCGCACTTGCTCTCTCTCTCTCTCTCTCAAAAAAATAATAAATAAGCATTCAAAAAAGAACATAAAGATAAAACTCACACAGTATACCTGAGTGGAACGATGGCACTATGTTCTCCCATACTGAAAAGTTGTCTCCAGGAAGGCAGAAATCATGTCGCCCTTCTTCACCATTAAAGTGCCTGGTGCCCATCCCAGAGCCTGGAACATTGTCTGCACGCTATAAATACCAGTAGGCTATGAGCCAGAGTTATCTAGTGCCCTTCTTTCCACTTCTCTTTTTGACAGGTGTAACATATTTTTAAATTTTATATTTTGACATATTTCAAAAGTGGAGAAAATAGGACAACATACGCTCAATTCCTCCCCACCCAAATTTGACACAGGCTCACAGTGCCCTTTCAACTTTTTTTGAATCTAACACAAAGTGCCATTCCATGTCGGACAACCCCCAAAACCAATAATAAACACATATCTTTGAGATGACACTGTAATTGTTTAAAATTACTTACGCCAAGCTAAAGGTGTAGTAAAGAAACAATCCTGAAAAAGTTCCAGAGCAGATTGGGAGATAAAGCAACGTGAAATGGACCCAGCACATACATATACATATACACATACACATACATATACATATACATATACATATACAGATACATATACGGATACAGATACATACATGCATATGAACACACACTTATTTACATCAGTTTAGAGTGAGGAAAATGGCAGTATGTCTTAATGGTTACATTAATATCTATCTCAACTGTTCTCTCATATGGAAATGGAAATGGAAAAGGCTTGGGGATTGTGCTTTTCCCCAAACAGGTATTAAGTGCTCATGAAAATAAACAAAAACTCCTCAGTCTGGGTTTTTCACTGGCTGCCTCCCTCACATCCCTGTGGGTACAGGAATAGCCCCTATAAGCTCTACAGTGACGCAGAAAGGTCACTGCGTAAAACTAGAACCTGAACTTTTCGGCCTTTCATCTGGGAGATAACCTTTATACTTTCTTGTAAACGAACAGCTGACAGACCTGCTTCTAAACCTCAAGCCCCAAGCTGAAGATGAGGCCACAAGTTGATTATAAAAAGTGAAAAAAGCAGAATATGAAAGCGGAGCCCACAAATAAGAGTTCATTACTAGAAATCAGAGTCTTTTGGGGTTTTCTGATTCATTTTCAATTTCCCACGAGAGTCTATACAGCCGTCTGCAATCCCTGCCCCTTCTCTCTTCCCCAGGAGTTCCCTCTCCTGAAAGCTTCTTTTGAGAAAGCCACCTGTTTCCACCATTTGCCACCAAAACAAATTTACCTAACAGCCTCAAGATCATTACAGGGCAGCAAAGTTCCCGGAAAGGTGAGAATACATCTTATTAGGAGAACAGACCCGCCACAGTTTTAGGTGGCTGTTTAGATGAACTTCACATTCCCTTCTTGGATAAAGTTTCTATTTTTGAAGCTGTGCTTTCAAACGGAAGAAAGATAGCATCTGCCCATAGATGGAGCCAAGAACGTAATATATAGGAGCTGATGTTGAATCGAAAATAATGGTAATGATATTAAGCAAGGTGGATTTATAGGCCGTTCACAATGACACATTTGTTTCTGATTTAAGTTAACTAAGACCATTTTGTTTCTTTTCCGCTACCACATGCAGCCTTTAAAAAAGAAATATGTATATAAATGTACACACACACACACACACACACACATTTGGAGGGATTCCAGATTTCAACATTTTAATGTCAATTCAGAAGAAAACAGCCAAAGGCACATCCTGACATGATGATCGCATTTGTCAGCTGCTGTACTTACTACAGTTATTTAGACTGTTGTTCGGGTCACAAAGGGAGCTACCGCCACATGAATCAAGGCAGGAATTGTAGAGGCATCTTTGGTCGCCTTCTTGACATGGAGTCTGACCTACAGAGGGGGGGAAAAGGCACATTTGCTTTCATCATCTGTAAAGTCCTGACACTGGGATAGAAAGTATCAAGAACGTCTGGTGGAGCGGAGGAATGACACAACTTTAATTCCCTTCCAATTTCTCCAAAAGTATTGAACACATGTTAAATATGTAACTTTCTGGATTAATTGTCCTGGCAACTAAATACAACACTGTTAGTCCAAAAAGGATTCCGTAGGAATGAAGAAATAAGAGGCAACCTAGCCTACAAAACAGGTGGTTGGTACTTTTAACGGGGGGAAAAGGGTGTTTTATTGTTTACATGGGTGAATAAACTTGATTACAGAATAAAATTTAGATGGTTGGAGAGAAAGTCCAAGATAATGATCTTGGAATTTTGAGTATCAAATGATATTATTTTAAGGACTCATTTGCACCCAACTCTATTCTTCCCTGTAAGGAAAATGCTTTCCCTAAAAATAAATAGGGCATCAACACCAATACAGTAAGGATACTTTATCACGGTGCAAATCTTATGCAGCTGCTATCCATATTTTCTATATGTCCTTGGAAAGTATCACTGGCCTAGCTCTGATGACCTGAGAATTGGGTTTCTTGTTTCCAAATGAATGAAAGCAGTAACATCAGCCTAATGGCTTTTCCTTAAGGTTTGTAGAAAGGAAACTGCTTTTCCCATTGATTTCCTGGTCATTTGTAGGTTAAATGGATAGGGTAATAAATTACTACCCATTCTCTCTCTACCTCTTGCTCATTATAGTCAGTTACTTTCATATATGTCATCTAGAATCTAGAAAATCTTGCAAGGCATTTTTAAGTATAAATAACAGTGTATGTGTACATAAAATCATTCTTATCTATAATTCTCAGATAATGTTGATTATATTGGACTCTTTCCTTCCCATTAATGTGCAACAGTATATATCACAGCCTTCAAAGAAAACAGATACCACTCCTTTTTTTTTTTTAATATCATCAGGGTCAAACCACTTTTGCAAGGTAAGCCAGGCTAATATCAATGCATCCAGTCTCTTAAAGAATTTTAATAAGACAACCTGCATTCATTATTTCAGCTGATATTGAGCGTCTGCTATGTGACAAGCTTAGGTGACAGGCTAGGCATGAGGCATTAAAAAATAAAAGAAGTGAAATGGCTTATACTCCACCTAGGCATGTGGCCATGAACAGAACCTTACACACACAGCTAAGCCGTGTGATCACTGTGTATGTAAGGTATATGTAAGGCAGTAGAAGCAAACTAGGACAATAAAGAGAGAGCTTCTCAAAGGAGTTTTTAAGGCAGGTGGGTTAAGTTGGCATAAGAAGGTAGAATGGGGTGGGGCACCTGGGTGGCCCAGTCGGTTAAGCATCCGACTTCGGCTCAGGTCATGATCTCACAGTTCAATTCGTGAGTTTGAGCTCTATATCGGGCTCTGTGCTGACAGCTCGGAGCCTGGAGCCTGCTTTGGATTCTGTGTCTCTGTCTCTCTCTGCCCCTCCCCCACTTGCCCGCACGCTCTCTCTCTCTCTCAAAAATAAATAAAAATTTAAAAATAAAAAATAAATAAAAGAAAGAAGGTAGAATGGTTTCCCAAGCGGAAAGCAGAATACACAAAGGCTGGAGTGGGGAGGGCACAGGTTGGCATCACTGGAGCTTCAGGGAGACTAGACAACAGGGCTGAGAGGGGAGCCTGAGGGCTGTAGAGGCCTGAATCTTGAATGGGGCCCAAAGGCCTGGGTGGCTTCTACTTCCCTCCCCAGTCTTCCTAGCAGAGCCGGCCTGGGATACTGGTGACAACATTCTGGAGTAGCACCTTCCCCCTTCACTCCTGGCTCTAATCATAGTGGCCTTCTCCTGGTATCTACATATATGCCTTGTTCCCCTCCTCCCTGGGACCTTCGGACAAGCGGATCCCCGTGTCCAAAGTGCTTTCTCCAGTCCCACCTTACTTCATTAAGTCAGCTCCACTCATTCCTCACATCTTAGCTCCAACGTCTCTTCCTCAGGGAAACTTCCCTAAGGCCCTGTCCCAGCGCATGCATCCCATATACAGCACAAAGCTCCCTGAACTTTCCCTCCTGGCCCATGTCACTCCATGGTAGACACTGACTTACACAATTATTTGTGTCACGCCAGTCTTCCCCAGGGGCCTGCAAACTCCATGACCTATTTCGCCTGCCACCAGATCCCCAGTGGTTGACCACATATTAGCACCACAATATACATTTATTCAGTCAGATTCATTAGATTAAGTAATATGAAGATGGTAAAAAATTTTACTTTTGATCCACTTTATTGCATGACTTTCTTACATCTCACATATGCTAGGAAATAGTTTATAAATCTTGCCATTGCATAGTAAAGAATCCAAAATTGTCTCAAACACAGATGAATTATGTCGAAAGAAAGAACAATTTGATCCAAAGGGAGGTGCTTGGCTGATATGCACATCATAACTCATGGGTAGAAAAGAATCTGCTTCTGAATGCTAAAATTGGTAAAATGAAGTACTCATTACCTGATTTCTTAGGTACTACATCTGTGATTAAAAGTACCTCTTTTTAGGCCTGGAATGCTTTTTCATTGAAGTTATTCTAAGGATCAATATTCACTATGACAAAATTAATTTAGCTACATGTGACCAACCTCATTGGCCAATTTGTGATATACGCAGCCCAAGACATGTTTTAACACAACAGTCGTGTGATAATAATAGCTCATGTTTATTGAGTGTTCACGATGTGCCAGCCCTCTGAGTTTACAGGCACAGAGCCTGAGACACAACAGAGTTCAGTTACCAGCCCAAAGTCACCTACAGCCACATTCTTTTTTTTTTTAAGTAGGCTTCACACCCAGAATGGAGCCCAATGCAGGGCTTGAACTCACGACCCTCAGAACAAGACCTGAGTCCCCCAGAGCTGAGATCAAGAGTCAGATGCTCCACTAACTGAGCCACCCAGGCATCCCATCCAGCAGCCACATTGTTAATGACTAGGCTATGCCGGTGAGTGGCAAGGTCACTTACAAACAAATGTAGTGATTTTTAAGTCAAGGGCTCTTCTTTTCTGACAGAAATAGACACAGTTTAAAAAACAACTTATTTGATTTTCTTTTCGAGTTTCACAGAAGACATCAGTAACCCTTTTCAAGTGTAGTTGAGTATGTTACTTGTTAATGTGAGGTATGAAACTGCTTCTCTGTGATCGATCACTGAATTCTACTCCTGAAAACAATATTACACTATATGTGAATTAACTAGAATATAAATAATGAATAAATTAAATTATGAAAATAAATAATTAAATAAATTAAATTAATGAAATTAAATTAATAATAAATTAATTAATTAATTAAATTTAATATTAATATTTAAATAAATTAAATAAATTTAATATTAATATTTAAATAAATTAAATAAATGAAAATAAAATGACACAGCAGGGCACACAAAAAAAGAGAGAGAAACTGTTTCTCTGCACATAGTTATTTTAGAAGGCAATCACATTTTTTATTTGTTTGTTTGTTTTTACTTATTTATTTTTGAGATAGGGAAAGAGAAAATCTCAAGCAGGCTTGGAACTGTCAGCACAGAACCCAACGTGGGGCTCAATCTTGTGAACCACGAGATCGTAAATCTCAGCAGAAATCAAGAGTTGGGCGCTTAACCAACTGAGCCACCGAGGCACCCGGGGAGGCTGTCTCGTTTGATTTCAGAAGCCAGCTCCTCCTAATTGTAACCTAATGTAATTTAACAGAATACTACAGACTCAACTTTTCTTTGATCATCGTGTACTTTCCCCATAAGACAGATCACTGAATCTCCCATGCTGTTTAAGTGTTCAACCTCCACCGTCTATCCTGAGGGAGGACTGTTCAGTGCAAGATGCTGGGGAATTATACTGACCACAAGGAAGGGTTTTATGGCCAGCCAGTGCTGTGAGCCATGCTGAGCCGGGCAATCTGGAATTGTTCATGTGGAAATCCTATGTAAGCATTAGGTAACTCCCAACTCTTTGCTCCGTTCCCAGGGAAAAGTCCGCGGGTGAGGAATGCTCTCACACTTACTGTCGCCGCAGTTCTCCTCATCAGAGCCGTCCCTGCAGTCCTCGTCTCCATCACACTGGAAAGAGCTAGGGATACACTGTCCACTCCTGCACTCCATCAGACCCTGGCTGTGACAAGCTGCGGAGGCCAGAATAATATTCGCTGCACTGATTTGTACTTCTGTCTGCGGATCGTAGATAGGATTCCCGCTTATCTGGCATTACCAAGAAATGAAACGTTCTATCTGCATGTTCCACATAAATGAATGAATGTGTCATTAATTTGTTTCATTCCACATGTTTTGGGAATGGAAAGTTTTCTTTTGAGGCTCTCTCTTGCCATGTGAAATAGCACTTACTAAAAACTAACGTTTTCTTGATAAGGGCAGGGTGAGAAATTGTCTTAAGGATGATAGTAGCTTTATTACAAATATAAAAGCTATAATTTATTAAAGGCTTAGCATACGGCAATAACTGTGCTAGCAGTATTATGTATCTAATCTCAGATCCTCATAACAGACTTGCAAAGTAGATATTATCAACCTTGTATAGAATAAGGAAACTAAAGTCTAGAGAGGTTAGCGTCCGTCTCAGAGCCACAAGGCTGTTAAAAGCTGGTGCCGGAATGTGAAGGCAAGCTTCTCTGACTCAAAGCCCAAACATTTCATTTTATTCCAATCTGACCTAATGCGCCAACGAAATGACGTATGTGAAAGACTTTGCATAGTACCCCGCACATAATAAACGCCTTATTTCAAAACTGCTTATGACGTCTGACGTTTGATAGGGATGGTGTAGTGGCTACTAACCTTCCAGTTCCTGAAGGTTGTCTAAATTCTATCCCTATTGTCTTTTCGAGCATCAGAAACCCATTCATGTAACCTCAGCCTTCACTGAGTTACTGTCTAATATTAAAGCTCCATATGCTTGAACTGAGGCTGAACACCAGAATCAGTAGACCTGAGTACCATGTCCTTGCTTTCCCAAGATCCATCGAGATATTGTCCACTCTGTTTGACTATGTCCACCAGCAAGGACTCAGTTCCAATTCAATTCAGGGAAAGGGAAAGCTGGGTATTGCATTTGTTAATTAATTTAGATGGCTTTTCTTCTGTCAAAATAAAACCCATATGACCCATATTTCTATTTTTGCCTCAAATTATAGGCAAATTAAATATTCAATCTTATATGTATCAATTTGCCTATTTTTATTAGACAGCAAAAGATGGAATAAAAACTTTAATTGGTTTGAACATGCACCAAATGCATCATATTAACTCCTTCAGGTCAATACTATTCTCGTTTAACATCTAGCTTCTACTATTCCAGACTGTCTACTCACCAGAAACACAACAGCCCGTAAAGTTGTAGTTATTATCATGTGCTCTATGTAACCCTAGGAACACTGAAGGCTTTCTTCTCTCTGGCAATCCTCTCCATGTTCTCCCACAAATAGTGACTGAGAGCATGTTTGGAGGTTCCTTCAGGGAAGCTTAGTTACTCAAACATAGCTTGCAGAAAAAGAGTCCCCCAATCTTTGGGAAGAACATCCTCTTTGACAAAGTTACAGATGCAGAAAGGAGATGCGTGGCCAGTGAGACAGAAAACAGACACCGGCCTGGCCAGAGCAGCCAAATTAAGCTTGGAGTTCTGGGGAGACACATGTGGAAGCCAGATACGTGACACTGTTATTGCCATCACACCGCTCAATTATTATCTTCATAGATTAGAAGCAAAGTACAGCGATCTTCCCTTTGAGTGCTGGACACTATATTTGTCTAAACAGGCAGAAAGGAAAAAATAAGCAAATGGAAATCCGCAGGGCACTTACAGCAATTGACCTCATCGGACTTATCCACACAGTCATGGTCACCGTCACAAACCCACTCTATTGCAATGCAGCGCCCATCTCCACAGCGATGCTCCTTTGTGGGATTACAATCTGGAGGAAACAAAAACTCAGGGGGATGTAGAGAACCAGCACAACAAAGACTTAGAACTGAATGACTCATGATTCCAGCTGAAGAGAGTCTGTTCCAATTGTTCAGATACCTTCAATGCTTTCTCTATGGTGGCTCCGGCACAATTAAAATGCCACCTCCTACCCAAGCATGTGACCCACTGGCCACCATCACTGTGGGGTAAGATCTGTCTGTTTTTCAAATGAGTAACAACCGGGCAGCTTTCTCAGTACCCATGGGTTGTTCCTGTTTTTGTTTTGTTGTTGTTTTCTTTCCTTATGAAAAAATTTTATTTTTACATTGGCTAACATAAACAGACCTGTGATGTGGGTTTCACAATGTAGATAGCTGATTTGATTTGTGAGAACTCTACCATGTATCTAAGAATTGTAACCAACCTCTCTCTGATAAATTAGGAAGGCAAACATCTCCTGTCATCTTTCCTGATGCTAAGCTTAGGCTTTTTATTAAACTATCTTAATATATAATTCATATTGGAAAAAAAACTCCTGGGTAAGAAATGCAGAATATTTATATTTTTTTCATGATCCTTTTTAGTCTAGATTTAACCTCTTCCCTAAACTATACATTCCTGGAGAAAAAAAGAGAGGGAATTAAGTCAAGTTTCTTCTCACAGAGAGCAGACTCTGTGGGATTCCTTACCATGAGATGTGGAAAAGCCTTAATATAAGTAACCACTTAACAGATGTGTGTGGATTCGTGGATAACAGATTCAATAACGAGGAACAATTATGAGTATCCACTGAGAGAGTACCACTGTCGTTGACAGACTCATGGAGCAACCATGGATCTGAAAGGTCATATTGCAGCAATAAAGTAAGGTATAGTATATGGAAGATGAAGTGCTGAGAAAAGAAGAAAGACACAATAGATGGGATACATGTGCAGAAACCAGAAGAAGCACCACGTGCTCAGCTTGCTAATAATGATGGGCAAGTGGGGCAAAGACTGGTCTAAGGGAAAGTTGTAATCATTACCGTTACAGAGGCGCAAAGTCACCCTAAGAGCACAAACTTCATGATATCCTACTATCTTCAGAGGAATTATGTTGAGTGGTTAAGACCATTCTTTTTCACACAGTAACTATATTCCCTGGTCCTCTCCATTGACCTGTCCAACTACTCAAGCCCTCCACCCCATCCCCCACCTTCCCCCCCCCCCGTTTTCTCCAGTTATCTCACTGTAAAAGGAGGGTTTGGATTAGGTCATCTATAAGACCTTTCCCAACTGTAAATTCTATGATGTACACACAACAATACATCTGTCTGTGAAGTTTTGCTCAAGAGCTCAAAATCTAAATACGGGCCACTGGCCCTAACCAGAGAAGAAATACAACACTTTCAAGGAGAAAATTTTAACATATTAACAACCGTTACCCATCTTTCCACTCTACTTAAGCACTTCATTATTGTGACTTTAAGAAATATTACATTGACACATAAGACATGACTGAGGCGAGTAATTGAGAAAAACCTCCTCTTTCTAAAAATAAGGAAACCAGCCATTTTGCAAGTTAACCTGCTAATCACGTGAACAAACAATGAGCTACGAATTCTGGACTATGCACGTCTGTCATTTTAAATGAAAACCTTCAGGGAAACAATACTACTTACCACAGTTCTGCTCCTCACTCAGGTCCCCACAGTCATCATATCCATCACACACAAGGCTATAATTAAGGCACTTGCCCGTGTGACAGTGAAACAAATCCTCACTGCAATCTGTATATAAGAGAAGCCGCTGATATGTCATCAGAGCAGAACAGGATGTTATAGGATATTCATTTAACAAAAGCATATCACGGGAGGGAAATTATAATGGTAAGCAGGTCCACATCTACTGTTTTACCAGTGAGGAGACTGTGATGCAGAGACATCCAAGGTCTTGTTCAAGATCACTTACCAAGTTCCTGCAGAGCGAGGACTAGAACCTTCTGGCTCCCAAACCAATGCTTCTAACACTTTCTGAAAGTCTTTATCTGAGATCCACTTTATGTTACCTGAAAGCTCTTTTATAGTCAAATATGAGCACAGACACTCTCAACTCAACAAAGTTCCTAATGAAATTCATGTTCATGCAGAATGAATGACTTTTAATACAGGCTGAGCAGTTATTTCCTTAAAACATTTCCTTTAAAATGAAAGTCTAGGGGCACCTGGGTGGCACAGTTGGTGGGAGTGTCCAACTCTAGATTCAGCTCAGGTCATGATCTCATGGTTTGTCGGATCAAATTCCATGTCGGGCTCTGCACTGACAGCACAGAGCCTGCTTGGGATTCTCTCTCTCTCTCTCTCTCTCTCTGCCTCCCCCCCACTTGCACTCTCTCTCTCTCTCTCTCTCTCAAAATAACTAAACTTTAAAAAATAAAATAAAATGAAAGTCTAGTTTTGTCCGTGATAAGCATGAACAGAATGGAGAGAAAAAGTTATTTAGATTATAAGGTTGTTATTTTCACACACACAATATCATTTAAGTCAACTCAGTGTTTCATAACATGACCCTCAAATAATCAGTACTGGGCTAGATTATGGTGACAAGATAAGATTAAGTGCTATGTAACCTCCGGAAGCTTAAAGTTTAATGTTGAAATAAGTAATATGGAAGGACTTGGACTTGGTCCTTGTACTAGATCTTGTACTTGGGTGAACCAGATACTTGGACACCCTGGTTCTGCCATCTACTACTAGCTGTGAGAACTTGAATAACTGGAGTGGTTAAAGTCTATGAATCTGTAAACTGATTTATGAAACTAGGATAATATCAATTACTTAATAGGGTTTGGGGAAGAGATTAATAAATATGTGTAATGTAAATCAGTATGTGTAAGATGCCAGTACAATTCAATGCAAAAATAATACTCTTCAACAAATGGTGTTGGGCCAATTGCAAAATTGAAGTCTAGCTTTTCCCTCAAACCGTATACGAAAACTGTCTCAAAGTGGATCACAGACTTCAATGTAAGAGCTAAAATCATGAAGTTTCTAGAAAAAAAAACCGGAAACAATCTTTTTGACCTTGGAAGAATTCTTAGGTATAACAACAAAAGCACGAGCCATTACAAAAATCATAATAACAAATGGACTTCATTAAAGGCTTGTGCTTCAAAAGATGCTACTAAGAAAATGAAAAGACAAACCACATACTGGAATAAGTAGTTGCAAGTCATGTATCAGATAAAGGACTTACATCCAGAATATATATAGAACTTCTAGATTCGATAATAAGACAACCCAATTTCAAATACGTGACAGAATTGAATAGAAAATCTTCACAAAAGACATACGAAGGAGACATAAAAAAGTGCTCAATATAATTAGTCATTAGGGAAAGGCAAATTAAAACCACAATAAGATACCATTACATATCCCCTAAGATGGTAATTAATAATAATAATAATAACAATAAACAGAAAATACCAAGTATTGGCAAGGATTTTGAGAAACTGAAGCTCTCATATATACTTGCTGGGGATGTAAAATAATAATGCTACATTAGAAAGCAGTATGGCAGCTTTTTATAAAGTTAACTATAAACCTTATCATATGATTCATGATTTCCATCCTTAGAAATCTACCCAAGAAAAATGAAACATACATCCACACAAAGACTTGTATGCAAATGTCTGTGGTAGCATTATTTATAATAGCCAAAGACTATTATCATATGATTCATGATTTCCATCCTTAGAAATCTACCCAAGAAAAATGAAACATACATCCACACAAAGACTTGTATGCAAATGTCTGTGGTAGCATTATTTATAATAGCCAAAGACTAGAAACCAAACGCTCACCAGCTGGTGAGTGAATAATCAACATATAGAATACTCAAATGATGAAATACTATCCAGCAATTAAAAATATCATACTATTGATGTATGTGACAGTACAGATGAATCTCAAAACCATTATGCTAAGTAAAATAATTCAGATACAAAGACTACATATTGTATGACCCATTTATGAAATTCCCAGAAAAAGAAAACTTACAGAGACAGAGATCAGAGCAGTGGTTACCTGTGGCTGAAGGGATGGGAATGGGGACTGACTACAAATAGGTGGGAGGGAAATCTGAGGGGAGATGAAGAAGTTCTAGAAGTGGATTGTGGTGGTGGTCACACAACTCCATAAATTTACTAAAAATCAATGGGATACCATATGGTATATAAATTGTACCTCAATAAAGTTATAAAAATGTTTTAAATCAATATGTGTTAAGAAGCCTGCATTTAATAGAAATGAGATTTCTTAAAAGTATTTTCTCTTATTTAAAGTGAATTACGTTCAAAATACAGATTCTTTTTTTTTAATTTGTTTAAATATTTATTTTTGAGAGAGAGAGAGAGAGAGAGATCGAGAGAGAGAGAGAGAGAGAGACACAGAGTGTGAGTGGGAGAGGGGCAGAGAGAGAGGGAGACACAGATTTTGAAGCAGGCTCCAGGCTCTGAGCTGTCAGCACAGAGCCCTGAGCCGGGCTCAAACTCACAGACCATGACACCATGACCTGAGCTGAAGTCAGACGCTTAACCCACTGAGCCACCCAGGTGCCCCCAAAATACAGATTCTTAAGGCTGGAGAGGGATCATGGAAGACAGGATCTCAGGAGAATGGATGGGATGAAAGTTTCAGCATGATTCAAGCAGAAGGAATAGCAAGAACAAAGGGGACACGTTTGAGGACAAGTCTACTTGGCTGATGAAGACCAAGAATCTAATTGTCTCCTAAATTCTACCTGATTGCTTCTCCTCAAGCGTAAGTCTGTATCTCACACGACTGGCGATGAGTACCTCTTCACTGTAAACATCCCAGACTCTATAATAATTCCTTACCAAAATTCTTGGGCATGGATCAGTTAAACTGTTGGCCACATACATCAAAATATTATACTTGTTACATGAATTATAAGTTTCTATTTCACGAAGCGTTCTTTGAAGAAGCTACTTACATACTTGTAGGGTCATATCGTTTAAAAAATGTAATGTTCCTTAGGGACCATCTATCTGTTCAGTGCCTACATTAAGAGGGTGCGTATGTGGACAACACACACACATGTGTCTACATACATGCTCCCGCTTCTACACACACAGAACTCTGGAAGTGCTTTTTATTTATTTCGCCCAGGCTGAATAAGTTTAATAACAAGGATGACCATCATAAAGGAAAATAATTAAAAAGAGGTCCCAGTTTTCACCTGACAGGACTATTTCCTCCCATTCAGCAGAGGGCGCTAAATCCCCACCCTGCACCCCACGCTGCATGTAACCACTGCCTACATGCTGAGTCAAGAAAGGTTACAAACTCTGATTCTCCTGCCCACTCTGCAAAGTTAGGGAATTTGTGCATCAAAATATATACATTTCCTTGGGAAATTTGAAAAAAATCTTTCTTATTATTGTTTTGTTTTTGTTTTTGTTCTTAATCTAAATTACTCTTGTAGCAGGTTTTGAATCAGTATGCTAGAATCAGCAATAACCAGGGGCCTCAATTTGACCATCGCGCAAAAGTATTTGCATTCCCCAGAGGAGGGAGTGGGGTGGACGGGTGACATATTTTAAACGATATGAGTTAATTTTCTTTTTTTTTAAGCAGCACATTTCACTTTTTTTTTTTTTTTTTTTTTTTTTTTTTTTTGATGGTAAGACTGGGGAATCAAATACTTCTTTTAGAATCTGATTAACCTTGGAACACGCCAAAAATTTCCAATGATTCATGCATCCCTTCTGTGAGGCCCATTCTAAAACCGTTGCATATTAAAACACCTTGCTGTAGATATTTTTTTAAATTAATGCTGTCAGTTATTAAATTGTTTCATAAAAATAAACATTTATTTCATAAATGGAGATGACTCAAGCATTTTTTTTTAATTCCTCATTATTCACACAGGTGCAGATTGAACTTTCCACTGTTACCACTTCCTTGGTTAGAAGCCATTTTCAGAGGATAGATACAAAATGAGCTGCATTTGGAAAACAACTTGTTACCTCCCTGAGGTCTGCGTGATTAGTAAACACACAGAACCTTAACCAGAGGCGCTGCGCAGCCAGAAATGCATAGCAAACAGCAAAGATCACAGTGCCTCCTTTTATTGGAATAAATGTTTATTTGGACTGAAAAGAGATGCCAGCACCATTTAGGGCCAACAAATCAAAATTTTCAAAAGCTTCTTGCTATGATTTTCTTGCTCAATACAAGCATAACTTTACATAACCTAAGGTAGATGTTTTTCTAGATACAGATTTTTTTTCTTTAATGAGTACCTGATACAAAATGTTACTTCTGCAGTTCTTCCATGTTGATATTTATTTCAGTTTGACATCTTACTCTACTAACTTTCATCCCTCAAAATTATCATTAAATTAAAGGAGAAAACTAAGGAACAGAAAAGTTTTTATCAAGAGCTTCATTCACTTTTCTCAGTCTCTACAAGTCTATGAACATAATTGTGTTGCCTCAATTCAAGATTCAAGTATGGATGCTCAATTTCCACCCAGAGGCGCCCTCATTTTGAGACGACCAGAGAAGTTAAATAGTTTGCCCACAGTTGCCCAGCTCATTACAGTTACCTACGTTTCTTGACTCCTGGGGTTTCTGACTATTTGTTTTTAGCTCTAAAGGAGGACTTCTCAATAGCAGTACTATTGACAAATTGGGAGTGGGTAATTCTTTGATTGTGGGGACGATCCTGTGCATTGTAGGATGCTGACCAGCATCTCTGGCCTCTA